CTCCGAGTAGCAACCAGTGCCCATGGCAACTAAAATCAGGCACCAATCGAAACATGTGAGTAATCAAATCCCACCAGTCTTGGTGACACATGTATGTAAAAATGATGAAGCAGCCGAACAGCAACACTGAGCACTATGCAATCATCACTTGGTAGCAAGTCAGGACAAACGATCCCCCAACCTTACAGCTCAACGAAAAAGGGATCTAACAATAGTGCCCTGACTGTTGTGTGCTCGAACGTACCCGAATCAGCAGCTATCACATTGCAAGGTAAATTGTCCGACGACCTAAACCAATGGGATTCATTTTGCTTTCTGATGAAAGTAAAAGCCAGACCTGATCAGGCGTCCATGGGCGTGCCTCGCATATTCGATACTAACTATTTATTTATTTAAATATTTACGAATTACTCGTCACCCGAACTCTGCACACTTTGGAGAGCCCAGAATTATTACATTAACACTATTGTCCTCAACCGATATGAGAAACGTCCTGCTCTCTTCAAACGTGCTGCAACATGGATCGTGTGGGATACATGTCTATCCTGATGTACCGTGGAACATGCGACAGTCGAAAAGCAGTTCCGAAGGACATTGCGCGCCTAAACGTTATCTTCATCCATAGTGTGCCATAGCTTCCTTTACACGAAAGTCAAGAGGCCGGAAATCACGATTTAGAAAAATGGCGATTCATCCGCGAAACCATTTCCTTGGATAATGTTGTGTCGCGATCGCTCAAAAGGTTACCTCTCTCCTCCAATTATAGAGAATGCGGCTTGAGAATCCTAAAACCCGTGGTTCAGTTCGAGAAAACAGCGATGGATGTGTTAAATAGTTGGCGCAAAAATCGAAAAAGCCTTCCATCGGAACTTCGCTTAAGGACTACAGATGCTTTGCAGTGTCCACTTACGAAATAAACTAAAAAAGCAGACCTACCGGCGATGATTGCTCCTTTACCCGATACTGGCGTAGATTTAGATCAGGGTTGGGACTCGCCTTGGCCAAAGCAGGGTTCCGAAGTAGTATCAGTATCTCATCAGGAAAACGAATAACGGCCGACCTCCCATCGATTGGCACTCCCACACAACTGAATTCCTGGACCCTCTATGGTCTACCAGAGACCGATAAACTAGCTTGCTTGTATACGAATGCTCAGGGCCTCTTCAGTAAGCTGGCAGAACTGAAAGATAGCCAAGTTTCCTAGAAATATGATATCATCGGCATCACGGAGATGTGGTTACACGCTGAAATGACGGACGCTGAAATTCCACTACCTGACATGTCACTTATTCGGAATGACAGACTGACAAAAGGAGGAGGCTTAATTCTTTATTACCGAAGTGACTTACAGTGCAAAGTCATTGTGGATTCTGATTCCTGATTCGCTTTGGTGTTGCCTGCAATTAAGGAGCAGAGACACTTGCTTTAGAGCCTTGGTGTACCGTTCCCCTAACCCTATATCTGAAACTGACTACCAAATTACGACTGTCCTACGGCGAAATCTAAATGAAGGGTACACTCACATCTTGACGATGGGTGATTTCAATGTGTATTGTTTAGAAACCCCTGCAACGAGCGGAGAACAATTTGAAGGTGATCTTCTGGAGCTTGTAACCAGTGTTCCGCTTTATACTTATGTCACTTCGCCCACTCGGTTCAGAATAGGTAACAGGTCATCTGTGCTTAATATTGTGCCTACCTACGGAGAACTTATGATTGATGCGCTGGTTGTAGACTGCCCGTTAGGTCGCAATGATCATGCAGTTATTGGCTTCGACTTCATCTGCTATGCAGTATCGCTAGCTGTACGCCGTAACGGCGCTTCGCTGCCACGCGGTCAGCAGTCGCGCGTGGTCTGAGTATCCCACGAGGACTCCCGCCCCTACGCGGATTTGAACCGGTGACCTTGTGGTTGCGAACCAGCGGCACATACCACTCGGCCACCGACCGACGCTAAGCCCAGCTCGTCAATGCAGCAACCTGGTCGTTCCTCGCCCACGACCCCCTGGATGTTGCCTCGCTCGAGTTCGTAAACCAATTCTATCGGCTGGTTACGGATGCTTCAGAAACAAAAGTTTGCCAACGGTCTGAAACAGTTACTTATTTAAGGAGCAGAACTAGAAAATTACTAGCGGTGTAAATTATCCCCAACAACAGAAAGCTGGAATAACTACGTAGGCCGACACACACGTACACAACTGCTCAGAGAGGACAAAGCCGCGCGTCAGCATAACCTAGCAAATTCTTCAGCGCCAATCACAAACTGCGGTGTAAGCATGTCAATGGTCTGCGGAAAGTGAGGCAAGCAGTTCCGCCACTCACGACGGCTGATGGCTCAACACGAACGGCTGCGGAGGCAGCAAATGCGCTGCAGATGCAATATGCCCCCACATTCCAGAGGGTATTACCATCAGGAGATACTCCAGCTTTTATCATCCCGCCACCGGGACTCACTCACATTTCCTTTATTACCGAAGATGTCTTACAGAAGCTGACCACTACGCATGCGAAGTTCCCAGAGACACTGGGAGCAGTACCACTGGCTCAGTTCTTTCAGCGGTGCATGGACCAGAACCAAGTTCCTGCCATGTGGAAGCTTGACATAATAACACCCATTCACAAAGGTGGAAGCAGAACCGAGCCTTCAAACTACCACCTAGTTTCCCTTCTGTCTGCATTGTCCAAGGTGATGGAATCCATCACAGCCGATGCGCTGGGGGGCTATTTGGGAAGGTCTAACATTATTCTTTCTGAGCAGCACGGCTTCAGTCGAAATCGATCGTACACAACGAATTTGCTAATAGCACGGAGTAGCTGGACCCAGCCAGCTAACCCTGGAGAGGATGTTGATATGATCTACCTGAATTTTTCGAAGACATTCGACAGTCTACATCATCGGATACTCCTTTCCAAGCTACAGCGTTACGGGATTGGTGACCCTCTTCTAAGCTAGATCGCCAACTATCTCCTTCAGAAGCAATTGGTCGTCAGAGTTCGGAACTCCTTCTCTGATCCCATACAACTTGCATGTGGTGTGCCTCAAAGCTCGGTGCTAGGTCCCCGATTGTTTTGGATAGTTATCAATGACCTCACACAGGCAATTACCTCTAACTTCCTGTTGTTTGCCGATAACGTCAAGATTTGGCGTAAACTTCAGGGGAATACTGACCAGCAATTTATTCAGAATGATCTAGACACGGTACATCAGTGGTCCATCCAAAATTCACTGCAATTCAATGTGAATAAATGCAAGTTGCTCTCCATACAACACCAGAGCAACCATTGTTACAGGCTTGGAACGCATGTGCTGCAACGAGCTGCCATCGAACATGATTTGGGCGTACTGGTTCAGGATGATCTGGGTTGTTCCAGGCAATCCGCGAAAGTCTTCAAAACTGGTAACCAACATGTGGGCTTGTTACGACGGGCGTTCGAACAAATAGATCGCTCTATTTTCCGGCAGACGTTTAGTGCATAGGTTCGTCTTCATGTCGAATATGCAATTCAAGCCTGGAACCCATGTCTAAAACACCATCTTAGTGCATTGGAGCAGCCCCAACGCCGAGCACGAAAGTTCGTTGCTAGAATGCACCCTCTTTTATACGACGAAAGGCTGGAACGATTGGGAGTATTCAGCGGACGTTACCGCCGCTTACGAGGTGACTTGATAATGGTGTACTTAATTCTGCACGATCCACATCATGTGTGCCGCTCTTTACTGCAACTCAGCAGTAATACTAACTTGAGAGATCACTCACGAAAACGGGCAGAACAGTACAGCCACCTGGATTGCCGCAGGAACTTCTTCTCCGTCCGCGTGTGTCACCCATGCAATGCTCTCCCAGAATCGGTCATTTCTGCACCATGGCTATTCATATTTAAAAGACGTTTGGATGACTGACTTACCTACACATTGTTACTTAATACTTCATCTCATCTCACTCCTGGCATATACTTTGGATTTATTTGATATTACATGTTTATGCTGTTAAACTACACGGATCGCAGGACTAGAACCAGACAAATGATAAGTCCGTCTTTTAAACGTAACTAACCCACTGTTATTTTTATTTTTCGATAACCCCACCCAATGGGACATGTAAGACTTCTTAACCCGTATAAATTCATTGTTCCATTTTCTCAGACGCATTACATAAAATGGCTTGCCTATACATGGTTATTGACGCCGTATGACTTGAACAGTGCGTTAGTCTTCAGGATAACTGCAGTCTACTACACACTGAGTTACCGTCTTGGCAACGACTGCCCCATGAAGTTCTAATAAAATCGCCTTGTCTCTTTCGATAATGTCACTGTATTTGCTCCTGACATCCGATAATCGAATCACTAATTCACTTGGTGCCGATTTCATACAATGGTTGTATCTACCGATTTTGTCAATTTGCCTTTTTTGACGTCTTTCACTTTTCCTTTGTAACACCTCTGATTTGTTTAATCGTGATTCTCGAAATGGTTACTACACATCGCCTCTAATAGCTCGAGATAAGCTACCGACGTGTGCTTATCCTTGTTGTTCGACATCTGGTTGCTACATTTTTCAGGTTTAACATAGCAGCTCTGATTTCTGCGGTCGCAAACGGTTTTTGCTAGGATACGTTCATGTGCCGGTCTACAATATTCTCTTTATGCATCAGATTCAGTTTCATCGGGTTCATTCATTCAGCTTAAGTTTCGTGGCATTCTTCGTTGTTTCTCGAGCTGTTTCTGCAGTTTCACAATGCAGTATACCGATGCCCGATTAAGCTTTGCTGCGTTGCAATTCTTCGAGGTTTTAGCTTCTGAGAACCGGTCGATGGCCTCTGAAATCGCTACAGTCCATCAGTGGCGCCCACCGCACTGATTGTGTAACATTCGCTGATTTCCGCTGTGAACAGTGGCCTGCCGCAGTCATTTTTCATTCAACATTTATCGTAAACTTAGCAACAGCAACACGTATTTTGTTTCACATTTTCTAACCAGTTTGTAAAATTCCTTTTTTAGTAAATTCTACATTCTACCGATTCCACTGACGCTTCATCATCTTCCTTATGGAGCTGTCTTCTTTCAATGGACTTGGCTTATCGATTGAACGATCACTCCAAGTTGGGGCAAGCTTTCCGAAAGATTTTTCAACCAGCTACTTATTTGCTTATCGGGAGCATCGTAAAAATCGCGTTGCTCCGTCACCGCCTGAAAATCATCAACAGGGATGTGCTGATCAGCGCCTGGAAAGACCGGCCACCTGGAACCCCTCTGATCACGGTGTCTAATCATCATTCCTGTCTAGATGACTTTATCTTGTTTGGTTCACTTTTCTCGCTTACTGATTTAACTAAAGGTATGACCTCTGCTGTAATGATTAACAGTTAGTTGAAAGATTTAGGTGGACCCTAACAGCCGTGGACATATGTTTTACGAATCCTATTTATTCCCACTTTTTCTTTTGGGGAAAAGGTATTCCGATTTGGAGAACTGTACGTGACCTCAGATCACGCAAGTTGATCCATAAGGGTGGTGGCGTGGATCAACCCAGCATGAATTTTACGCTTCAAGTTCTTAACCAAGGCGGTTGGGTTCATATCTTTCCACAAGTAAGCTTTATCTAGCCTGCTTACTGGTCAGTCTTCTGTTCCTTCATGGATTTAGTTGGCATTTTCCTGTTCACTTTGTATGTCCTCGTATGGATCTCCAAACCTCTTACTGTGGGGTGATAACATAGGATGTTAACGTGGAAACTGCTTACACCTTGCAAAATTTGTCTGATTCGCTGTCGTCACTTTGAATTGGGTCCTCATTCTCCAATTCTCCACTTGATATCCGACTGGAGGTACAGGTAGCTCACATGTTCACTTGTGAGCTGCGGGTAGTCGATTCGAAGCTGTTTAGGTAAAAGCGATTTTACAGCATTCGAGACCACCTGCAGTCACTGTGAGTTGCGTGACGGAGATGCACCAGTATGAGGCTCCGGCGCATTGCTGACATTTTCTTCTGCAGGGTTTTCCACTCAAAATAGCAAGATGGAACATTTCAATAGCTTATTCAGAACTCGATATTTCACTTATTTTTCGCAAATGTATGTAAACGATGCACGAGGGTTATATGGTGCATTCAAGGACAAACGAAACGCCAACTCTTTCTGTTTAAAAGTAGGTACTCACCAAGACAAGGTGGGGCAGCACACATTCATCTGATTGCACAAAGTACGTTGCATCCACGGAATGGCAGAAGCCTGGGCAAACTGAAAAAGGCGTACAGTCCTCTGTCGGTTAATTATTTTGGATGATCCGCTCGAATTGTGGCACGTAGAGATCTTGATTGTATGTTAGGCAACCGAACTAGTACACCGGTTAAGAGCAGATTGCATAAGTTCTGATATTCTGCTAGATAGCCACTTTTCCATCCCACCAAGATACTTACAAGTACACTGGAACTATTAAGTGTAGAAGAGTTTGGACTGTGGATATTGCATTTGCATAGTTGGTCCCTGTCTTGGTCCAATAATACTAGTTTGCTCATAGCTTGATGGAAACGAAATCGGAATCTCCTGCCTGCTTGGTCGTGTACTGATTACCTCTTGCCTAGGGACATCGGTCAAACTTCTCTCACGGGCTTTTGCACTCAACTTCTGTGTTGGTGTGACGCGTTGCGGTTCACCTCTGAACACATTTGGTTGGCTCATGCGTATCTGGTGAGGATTAATGTTGGTTTGGGGGACAGATGTATTTGTCTATCCAAGTAAGCTTGCGATTCGCAAATCGATTGGCTATTCTGGATAGAATTTTGTTCAGGTTTACATTCTAGGAGCGGTAGTTGCGCGTATCCTTGGTAGCAGTGTGGCATTTATTCATGACATCAAGTGCGTGTTCTACTATTTGCGCACTTCATCCATGACGACGATCGTGCCATCAATGTATCCATTGTTAGAGCGCACATTTTGTGTGCAGGGACATGGTTTAAACTATTCCATGTTACCCATGGAAATGTCGGCTACGACCATGCCAAGTGAGTTACCAATAGCTACTCCGTCGATCTGTTGACATGTGGCTCAAATGAATTATATATCAAGGTCTTTTAATCTAAATCATCATCAACAGCAATACATCAGCCATTTGAACTGATACTTCGCTACCATACAACCATAACGACCTACTGAACGAAGAATAATAAGAGGGAGAGAAGGGGGACTTACCGGAAAACCTTAATGCTGTAAGCAAACATCCAAGGTCAAGGCGTTTACACCTTGTCCGCGACATACATTCACAAACAGCTTGCTATTGTGCAATGATAAGGCGGCATCAGCGGGACAGCTTCCTTGCGGCTTTCAATGCCCCGCGTCATAATCAGCCATTACCCCGCAGATAACTCAGCACCAAACGCACTTTAAACAGGTGCTCCGACAAGGAGACGGCAGCAGACGCGTTACTGCTGTCGGTTGCGAGCCATGTCCTGTAAAGTCTCGAGCCAAGCACATGGCGAGTCATGTGGACTCCAGCCGGGAAGCCGCGACGGACCGACGGCAATAAGTTTGGCCTGAAAGCAGTGCTACTAAGTTACAGCTGGTGCTCGGCACACAGTTGCAAAAGACGCTCGCCATTGTCCATACGGTCGGAGTTAAGCCCATAATTACCACCTAGCTGAGCTTCTGAAGAGCTCAGGCGACCTACTTGTGCATTCGTATCCCCTGCAAATATTACGATATCTGGACTGGTAGCACTGTCTAGCAGCGTGTTCACTTCGTGGTAACATGTGTCCTTTGCAGCATCAGAACTGTTGTCCGTGGGAGCGTAAGCGGAAACCACAAACAAACAGCGTCGTGTACTGCTTCTTGACTCAACTTTGGTCGATGTCGTCGAACAGGCTGCATACAAACGGCTGTTCACTGGAATACAATCAACCAACGATGACTCAGTCCTGGAGCTAAGGACCATACCTCCCCTTGCTTGACTATAGAGCCTGCCGCATCAGTGTCTCCGGATGCGTACAACCAATAGCGAGAGAATAAGCCGGGCGAGATTAATTCAACAACCCCTTATGAATCATTGGTCCTAATTTCGGATACGCAATGCACGTCAATACCCATTGTGTCCAACGTACATGCGAGTGCAGCCTGTTGACCTATTTGTCATAGATTGCGAATGTTGAACGTTGCCATGGAAATCGGACAGCGTGGCCTTATAAGGGTCTGTTGCCGATAGACGTCCGGTGCGTGTCGCGAGAAGGTGGCTGCAGATGGTTCTACTCCAGTGGCACTTCGGTTGCTGTCAATTAAGCTGGGAATTATGGTAGGAAGCCATGTAACGGGGATTAGGAAAGGAGTAAGAAAAACAGGTGGGAAAGAAAGAACAGAGGTGCCAACAGTAGCATGTTTTTGCTCATCCGCCCTGCCGTATGCAGTAGTTGAGGCGACCCTTGCTGAACTGCGCGAACACCGATGCAAAATGTAGTTAACGTTTGTGGAAATTGTCATGGTTGTATGTCTGCTAAAATACTGCAAGTGCACCCCGACCTACACAGGAGGACGATTAGGATGTTCAATCTAAGCCTTTGGCTTAAAAGTCTGTCCGCAAAGCAGTGGGGAGGTGGCAATGATTTAGTTTTACATAAATGGACACCATCCCACCTCAAATCCTCAGCCTGGAGGACCAGGAGATTGAGTTTGTCTGACCTCTAACTATTGACCAACGTGGTAGGAGTAGGTCTCAAGGGGCCCTTTGGGGCCCTACCCCGTGTAGTTCAATGGATCAAAGAGGTACGCAAACCGTCGCACCGCATCAACCTCCAGTCTCGTTGCAACGGTTTGATCTAAAAGAGAGCGATAAATTGTGGCGGTTTTTGAAACCTCACTTTGTCGATATGAGTGACGATGAATATAGTGTGTGTTACAGAGGAGTCTGTGTTTCAGGTGTTGAGTTTGCTATAGTGTCCTAATACTTTCTTACAACAATGTCTACCTGAACTATCTTACATAACTTGCACATCTCGCTTGAGCTAACTGTAGTTAACTTCGATAACATTTTCGGGGTTGTGGCATTTTCCTAAGATATATTTTCTGACGTATTTAACCTTCCGCGGATTTTTGGCAACCAATTTATTTCATACGCTCATTTAGTGAAGAGTTGTATCACCGTATCTGTATGTATTATTCGATTTATTTTATTTCGTCTTGTCATTTCAAGTGATTGGCTGTTGTTTGATAACCCTGGTGTGACTTCTCTTGATGTGCATGTTGACAAGGTGCCTACCTGTCTATTACCCACTACCTCGGCCATACTGGCTTTAGGAGGCAGTTGGTCGTTACTGGAGGGGACGGGGTGCACAGTCCTTGTGGCCGTGCTACGCTCGAAGAGTGATTCCCTGCACTCAGTGTGAATCGGACTACAGTCTAGTCACCACCTCATTTGCGCTTGATTCCCCAAATACAGCGTGTTTGTGCTTGCCTGTGAAGGAGTGTGAGCCGGCTCCGTTGATGAAACGTGGCTCCCATCCGCATGCCTCCCGGTCTTATTCCTTCGGGTTTACACTGGATATGGGGTGTGTGGTTGGAGCTGTGGGTGGTGCGGCGCAAGCCATCCATGGTCCCTCTGTAGGCGCAGGCGTCCTGTGGCTGGCCACAGTGACAGGCAAATCCGAAACCGGTTGCCGCTAGCTGTATTTCCTCTAACTTCTTTATCTGTTTTCGGTAAATCCGCGGGGCGTACGTTTGTTCACGTAGACCAACGCGTTATCTAATTCACTAAAGGTGAACCAAAATGATTGCAACCGCGTGCACTTTCCTGTCATTTGAGCTGTGTCGTAGTATGACAGATGTTAGAATACGCCTGCTGTGACGACGGGGACAGCCGAGAGCAGCCGTATAATCCAACCGAATTTCAAAGGCCAACGACTCCTTAAAAAATGATTGTGGCCAACCCTTCAACGACCGGTACTATCTCCAACGTTAGTCCAATGTTCAATGATTCACTTTTGATTAGCGAGAAAAACTGACTTGCTTGTATACTAACGCACAAGGCCTTCTTAGTAACTTGCTCGAACTCTGTTACCGTCAGTCTTCCGAGCCTCGGGGTATCTTAATGGTCACCGAAATTTGACTGAACTTTGAGATTACCGACGTCAAAATCGCTCTAGCCGGTATGTCACTCATCCGGAACGACAGAATGCGTAGGGGAGGTGGAGTAATCATTTGTCACAAAACAAACGTGCGACATGAGCTTATAGATGATCCTCAAACGCGTGCCACTGATCTCACTTTGTGCAAACTGTAGCGAATCTGATATGACTGGCTCTGAAGACGCAAGAAGCACCAACCAACATATCTCATTGGGTCATTGAGGCACACAAACCACCACATTGAGGTCCAGTCAGGTGTGTTTATCCGTTTCAGTAGTTCAATTACTCGTATGTTATCATTTATTGCTAGCATTGTACTATAACGGTCCGAGCAAATGATGGATACAGAAGGACAGCGAAGCTGTTCGTGACGTTGTTATTTCTGTTTACACATGCGCGGGTCCTGATGTCACGCGTTTATCTGGCATGTTAGTGACCTTATACTTGGGCGCTTGACTGTGACCAGACTAGTGAACGCTGTACTCACTCATCTAGAGATGAATGCGGCTTAGATTGTTGTCCCGGATTACATTCACTTGAACCGGCTATAGCTATTTATGGCATAGTTGATTTTATACTAGTGTGAGCCGCCCCTCGAGTTTTTAATAATAGGAGTTGTTATGAATGTCGTATGCGGTGCACACTGAAGGGACTTGACTGCCCCCATCAGCGTTAGCCTCGTAATGACATCTGGGCGCTTATCTTACCATCGATAGTTCTATTGTTCTCCTTTTTGATTAGATGGATGAGGGACAAGGTTTCCCGCTGGAGCTCGTTGAAGATTTCATTAGCACCGTTTTGCAACAATACATGTTCTTTTACTTCCGAAGTTGGGTTTCACGTGTTGCAGTCTACATCTATGTGGTTCGTTTTTTCCTGTTTGCGGGTATTTAGGTTTGTTTTGCTAATTGAATACATATGCTTTCTGAGCCTTGTCATCATTTCTATTATTTTGTTTGCTCACTCGCTTTCACCTTCTCACTCTTTCAGGGGCGTATTATTCACCCATTTGAATTCGATCGTGAGTCGAATTTTCGTTTGAAGTGGGGCGTCGGACGTTTACTCGCTGAGTCCAACGTGGTATGTCGAGAGTGAGCATCGAGTGTATTTCGACGCTTCATACCTCCGCATTGCATTTTTGAGTGGATCATGGTTGTCCACATCAACCTCATCACATAAACTTAGTTTCGGCACTTCATAAGAAGTTGTGCACAGGCGACGAAACATTTTCCATTAAAATTTTGCGCAACAGCGCTGTACGGGTTATAAACTTAACCGTATTGGCGTAACACAAGACTGTTCGTGACGATTGGAGAGCACAACTGTTGATCGCCGCTTTGTTACCATTTGTCTCAAACCAAAAAGTCTTTCGCCGGTACGATCAGATCTATGTGTGTAAGGGTTGTTATCTACTGCGATACAACCTGTGGATTTATCGCAGGTAAAATAGTAATGCTTAACAATTTCCTTAGATAAAGCGTGAAAACAGGATGTGAACGTGTCAGGAAAAGCTAAAATATCGCATATCGGTGAACTCACCGAAGTTTCACTTGTGCACGTAGTTTGGTTTTGTCATGATGTGTTTAAGTAACATTAGCTAAGTCTTGTTTTGCATGTGGTGTAATATTTCCTCAAGTTGAGTTTTGTATTCGGTCAATGTGAAAGCGGAGGTGACGGAGGTGAGCGTTCCACTCCTGGGACACACGAAGTGAGAAAAATGCCGGCGGCATTCCAGCCGGCCGTGCTGTGTGGCTAACTTAAAGTGATGGCCTCGGAGTGAGGTGTCGTGACTTAATTTCAATGTGTCGAAATGCCTGGTTTGGATCCCTCAAGATCTGAAACACGAAAATAAGGCCACCGCGCAGGCGACGGGATTGACCACCGAAAACTCGTAGGATCTGTCGTCTATGCTGGTAAGGGAGCTAAGTCAAGCGCTTGACATTTTTTACTCTTCTTTTGGAGTCTCGAGGGCAGCAAGCTCATGCTGTTGCCAGGGGTGCCAGACCTGGATGGTGTATTCAACACGTGGACACACGTAAGTTGAAAATTTGTGAAAAGATGATAGGGTCAAACTGGCCAAATGCTCTCCGCAAAAAGCCAAAGTGCTTATTGGCCTTCCTTGCTGCTTTTTCAGCCTGTTTTGAGCAACCGAGATCGGCCTACACGGACACTCCACAGGGTATTCTCCTAGCCGGTATGCGTAAGTTCTCTAGTGACGGATGCTCAGTACTCGACGTTTGGCAGCGTTGAATTCCAGCATATTCTGAACTGACCAATCGGGAGCTCTATCGAGCTCACTTTGTAGTGCCGTGTTGTCGTTTACCCTCCTGGTTGTCCGCCAGATTTTGAGATTGTTTGAAGAGTGAAACATTTGCATCGATCACTCCCACGAAGTCGGTAATAAAGACGATGAAAAGCCTTGGTCCTTTAACCGAGCCTTGTGAAACGCGACATTGCAACTTCATCGGATCAGATAATCCGCTATGAACTCACACTTAGGCGATGTATGAAACCCAAGATGGAGTGTATTGTTCTCTATTTTCCGAGGTCTGATATACTTTTTCAAACAAACCATCAATACTTCCCTTGTTTCACAACACACACAAACTATTCGACTGTGTCTACTGCAGGTACATTTCTGTCTCAGGTCTTCCAAAATTCGCACTAATCGGATCGATCAGGGGTTAGCACTAATTATCACCGTGTTCCCCTTTCGCACCAGACGTTTGCGTTCCCCCATGCACGCACACAGGACAGCGGCGTCGCAATGTATCGCCGACCGCTTAGTTCACACTGCGTTGACAATGTCGACATCTTTCGCGTCACTGGCGACGCCTAATTGCTAGTTGGGAGTGGGGGTTTTCGCTGTCCGTGCTGCACTGCTTCAAGTGGCTGACTCTTGTGGATCCCGCTGAAAGATGCCGCTTGTATACTGGTCAATATCGTCACACCATCAGAGTTACACGACAGCAGTTCGAGCGCCATCAGATGCTAATTACGTCGGTGTCTCCTCTCTAGTCCTTATCACCAGAAGAAAGTTTTGGTGATTTTAACAAGTGACGAGAATAATAAGATTTTCACCTGGGCACCGTCGTGGATCACCTCTCGCGATCGATGCGCATCCTGCTGACAGTGACTATCAGGGCTTCCGTTATGCCGATAGTTCCGTCTTTCAACACAAACGTTCGTTTTGCATTGCCCAGTTTCTACCGAGCAGTATGCTCGCTTGGATTCCGACAAGCTGTCACCATCATTTGAGGGTTACACACATAGGTGCAATCTCGTCGGTCGATATGGTGCACTTGCCTAGTTTCCAATTACATCTTGGTACTCGCCCACACGATGCTCGTTCATAGAGGCTACTTACCCATTGCATAAAATAACACTCATCCAGTTGACGCTATCGATCCGACTTTGGACGCTATCTGTGATTAGCCAGCTGCAAAGTTCCAGCTGTCGTATAAACTCACAAACAACCCGCAGATCATCTGTGTAATGTGGGGCCTCCAAAAAGGGTCGCGTTGTTAAGCTCTCCATCTCTTTGATTAGAACACCTCAGAATCGATTTGGATAGAATCATGGACGACGGTTTAGCGCTGAGTGACCGAGGCTTCCAATTCCACCAAGTGTTTGTGGATGGTGTGCTTAATTGTTGACATTGAATACATTCGCGAAGACCGTCATCTTCCTAGAGAAGCACCAATCTTTTGGACAGCGCTATTTCGTCATATTCGAGAGATGCTACCGTCACGGAGGATGAACGTTAGGGGAGCGAAACCCTACGAGAGGGCCCTCAGCTGTTGTTCGGCGTTTTTATCTTGTGCAAACACCATCCTTAAGTAAACCCGTCGGGTAAATATTGGACGACTCCACTTCGCCTCACCCACAGCCGGTAGAAGCGCACGACAGTATCCGCCAATGGGTGTGTTTTCGAACGAGCGACAAAACCAGCACGAAGGCAGAGATGATAGAAGGTGGACACGCAGTGGAAGGGTGTACGGAATTTCAACACCGAAAGAGCTTAAACTGAAAGAAGCGGGGGTGTGGTGTGAGCACGGTAATGGCAGTTATTGGTATTCGCCTACGCATTCGGAACGGAGAGGCAAGTGGCTGCTCGATCGATTGTCCGCCGCCAGTAGAACAGCAACGCCTGTACGCCTGAGCGAGAATCGTTTTGAAAGCCCGCACGACCAACTGGCTCGAACGATGCTAACTTTCCGCCAGAGGAAACCAATCAAGGAAGTGCAAATCGGCATCGCTCAGCAGAGCGTAGGTTACCCTATAAATAATACGTTGCATTCTGATAACCGCGAAGTCTTCGTTTTTGATTCTTGGAGGGCGCTACATGTCACGAACCATTTGCTACAACGGGCTAAACCCGAATCACCAAGCTTGCATCACAGATTCTTCGGCGAACCAACCCCCGTATTTTGTTTCGAGATTTCGTGACTGTATGTATTCTCCAACATTGGTTACACTGTTCGCCTGTTATTTCCTCTAAATGTTTTCATAGGGATTATGTCCTCTATGTGCACTCACTAAAATTTATTTCTTGGTGTTCTTATTTAAGGAACGAGACACGCATTAATTGTATCCTTTGCAAACATTTCGATACACATTTTACATTTTCCTTAAGAATTCTAAACTACCCCTCTCACTTTCTGCATATTTTTCTGTCCATTACTCTGTCTATTCCACGCGGTCCAAATTCTAAGCTATATGTCATGCTTCCTAATCCACCCGATAGCAATGGCGCACACGTTGCTTGACTCTGTGTTTGAGTGCAAATGCACTCATCAACCAATTGTTCGCATATCTATCTGAAACCATGAGTTTCGATCGGTTCCAAGCATATTTCAAGTGTTGGTACTATCTTTCTTTGTTTACCGTGTCAGTTGTTGATATTACGTTGTGTTACATCTGAACTGGAACAATTTATTTATCACGGATAAAAAGCTATACGCTTAACAGTGTTCTAAGCCGACCACTGATAAGCCTTGTTGCGATCGTCTTACAGTGCTATGTGGTCGTTTATTCATTTGATTGCCAGCCAACTCTTGTGCTCGACCGCAAATAGTATTGATAGTGTAAGGAACTGAAAATGCACTTATATGGTGTATAAAGCCTATTACGACTTCAGCTGAGACTCGAACTGTTGTGCCACTTTCTTACCCTCCTGGCTCTTACTATTAGGTTCTTGTTTACAGATTTGAGACATAACCTCTGGTTATTTGCGCACCACTTCCATTTCAGCTTCTAATTCTACTTTTTGACTCACTTTGCTATACTTCAGACCATCACTCCTTCGTCACGTTTCATTGCTTCGTCTATAGCGCGACCAATCGCAGTGAATGGATCTGTTGCGCATCACTCAATACTGGTTTTGATAGGCTCATCGTTTCGTTTTATCACCAACTCCTTAAGGTTACTTGTATAAACCGCAACACCCAACCGTTGTGAATGTTGACGTTTTTTCTCATTTGTCGCAACTGACATCTCAATGTGTCTACCGTCAGGTCTCCGTCATCAGCGCCAACGTATTCCTACTCTCTTTTGCATGGACATAATATATTATTTCGCTTGCTTATTATTATTATTATTATTATCACAACTATTCTGCTCTATCGGGTCCGCTACAAAGGAACTCCTTAACCATGCCCTTTGCACCCGTTTCACTCCTGCGCGGACACGGGGGTACATTATCATAATCATCGCGCCCGATTAGTATCCGTGCACAATACCTTCGCTCTCCTACATATTATATAGGCAATCAGTGCCGCATTGTGTCCGTCACATTACTCGCCAGTCGTGTATGAACAGATGTTTATTTTTTCCGTTATTCGTTCTTTTTTAGTTACCGTTGGTTCTTCCCATTTGGCATTGTGGTCTGGAGCTTTTGAACCCCTCCGAAACGTTTAGTACTTTTGAGACGTTGCGTCGTATCATTGGCAAGCCACGGACCCTAACGATTGCCGTGGGTAATGTTATTAATCCTGATGGCATTCGAAGCATTCTCTCAGAATATCGCAACCACCAGCGTTCTGAAGCGGAAACTCGCCGTGAAGTGCATTCACTTCTCACAGCGTTGGTGCAAGCAGCCCTGTATTCGTTGAAATCAACCACTGAATTGGAACATCAACACCATTTTCACGGTCCAGATGCGTGATGCTGCTCACATCATGTTGGAGTCTGGTCGTCTCAAAATTTTATTTTTTCTAACATTCCCTATTGGTATATAACGGAGGAATTTTGTGTTACGACGCTTAACACCTTGTCAACTGTCTTTCTCTTATTTGACCGGCACGACCGTTCCTCATTATTTTCTCCATGTACATATCTGGTGCGTGCGAAGTATGTCCACCAGTTGTCGGGTCACTATTTTTCCGGGATGTATTTATCTCCACCCTTACGTGTGCCTTAATGCACGTTATTAGTTTTTTGCAATTAGCACCTTCCATCTGTCTTGGAAAATTTTTTATGCGCATACTCTACCCGGATCCCTCCGGCTGTCCGTCGCATTGCCAGTTTCTTCGCAGTTACTGCCTCATCGCTAAAGTGCCATTGATTCCTTGTTTCAGGCCCAGGTTCTCAACTTGTAATCAGGTTCTGCTACCATTATCACCTTCACTCGAACCACAGACATTTTCCTCGCGGGCTGGGATACCGCTTTGGCACCCAAACCCGTGCAGGAGAAGTGCAGTGGTACCAGACCAGATGTATTAACCACGGATCGCATTGGGACGGGCACAACCACGTTGCGGTTCATCCATTTTTTAAATTCCCGCATTCGTGCCATATCTTTGCTGACTTCTCGCTGATGAGCGACAGCAATCACAATTTCAACATTAGCGCATAAACTACCTACCATGACTCACTTTCAGGGTCATTGAATACTAGTTGTTAGTAATGGCATCCTATAGAATCTAAGTTTTGAGCTATGGCATGACAACTGGATCGCGTGTGTTGGCATCACCTATGTACTTCGGGTCACGTTCTCGTGATAGAGTATAAACGAATCATCGTCATACCATCACGTTAGGGTGAGAAACACACCTCAGCTAATGTGCGTGGGTCACAAGTCAAACTAATACCTGTGCTCTCCTGATACCAATGCCTTAGATACTTTAGTTACTGTTCTCTGTAATCCTCTTAGCCAACGACTGGCGTTGTTCCTCTGCGTAGAGATCTAGCGCAGTTCAGGGTTTGTCAACCATTTATCAGCTGACTCGTCTGTTCCTTATGGGTTGTATTCCAATACAATGTTCTAGCTGCGATGCGGACCACTTTATCGCATCAGTATCTCAAATCTTTCGTTTAGACTCGCAGTGGCGAACCTGTGTCTGTTCTCTGCTCAACCCAATCTCCGTAGTATGCTTCGACCATCCTCCTGGGACCCTTTTGGCTTCTTTTGCACCAGGCTTACCAAAATGGCATTGTTCCGTGTCTAATTGACGACCATCTAAAACGCTTGCTGCTGGCAAGCGTTCTCCCTATAAAAGGCTACAAATGCCTGCTTAACAACACTGCGGCGTGGTGAATGTGAGTCGCTCCTAACTAGAGTCACTGCCTCTTACGTATACGGATGATCGTATCCAATCCAAAACGATAATCTCCATTCATCCCTTCTCACGCTGACCACCTGACCGAAATCAATCACAAATACGGCGTCACCTTTACAAATTCAAGCAACGTAGCCACACACATTCTTACCTACATTCATTTACATCTATCACATTGGTCCATATATCGCTGATCAACTTTTACCTTTTTATATTTATTGGTCCCTAAAGTTTGTATCACCATGATCATGTCTTTGCAAGCGTATGTCACATTGCCGAGAATAACACTTTTATTTGTTTATATCTCTTCCATAATTCGTTTTGGTCTTAACAACTTAAGTGTCCTCTTTGGGACGATGACCGGATTGTTCACGCGTCTGTCTTGTTATCTACCAGCCCCTGGTTCTAGCCTGCGTAGATACTGCCGACTTGACATTATCTCAGCCCACATGCAACCATTGGTGTTTTCTTGCGAGGAATCGTCTGTACGAGGTTCTGGCGCACTTCTGATGCCCTTCCCTAAGTGGTCTCACCAACCGTCAGACTCTACGTTACCTCCATCTGACGTGACTCCAGCATATGGAAGGGGTAAATAAGTATTTACCCACCCCATCTGTGCATTTTTCACATCTTCACTTCGTAGCGCACTCAACAACAGTAGTACATCAGCCATTTGAACTGATGCTTCGCTGTCGTACAACCACCATGACTTAGTGAATGGGGAATAGGAAAAGGAGATAAAGGGGTACCTGGTATAAAACTTAAATGCTCTAAACAAACCTGCGGAGTCAAGTCACAAACAGCTGGCCATCGTGCGAAAATGAGGCAGCATCAGTTCGTCAACTGTCTTGTGACTTTCACTACCCCACACAATAATCACCCGTTGCCACGAATATAACGGCATTAGAAACAGTTTGATCAGGCAATCCGAGTGGTCGATGCTTTTACATGTCTAGTTTTATCCCGTTTCTCTCCATTTTGCACCTAACCGTGCAGTACTACCTCTGATGTACTGCACTACACGAAGTCATGAGGGTTACTTATCGTTATCCAGCTGCTGCAGAAGTAACCGATTTTTGATCTTGCAATCCTCCTAATATTAGGGATTGCGTAATATCTCAGCCGAGTGCTACAATGATATCAGACTGTTTTACAGTGTTTGTCAATTGGACATGTTCGTCTAACGGGATGCGCATCAAACGCAGCTCATTTCGGCTTATTTCAAAGCTAAATTCAGTATATTCTCGTGCGCACGCTCAGGAAATGATTGCGACCACCTGGCTTGCTTCCTGTGATTCGGGCTTATGAAATGTGGCTAATGCGGTTTACCGGTCTGCTTACTTACCACCGTGGCTGGTGGGTTGGTCTGAGTGGGAGTTACGCACACGTGACCTATACACTGGCCGGGGAAGTCTAATTGGCCTTCATTCCGTTTGAACACCAGTATAAACCTCAGTAGGATAAATATAAGAACGCCATTCTCCACAGACGATATTCTATTGAAGAGACGGGCAAACTGATTTTATTTAGCAACTTCTTGTATGTGGTTTGCAGGCATTTATTGTACTTTGACTGATGGGGACCTGTCATCCCAACGCGACTTAGAGCTCATGAAGTTCTACAATTGACACAGCCGTAAGTAGTCGAGTTCACACCGGCGTGCCAGACTATCTTTCCTCGTTCCTTTTCCCCCACTCTGGCCTAGGCAGCTCAATTACTTGAGATTTAGGATTGAGAAGAGCCTCATTTGCCTCATGCTGATACCATAGCTTTCAATCAGACCACTTGATAGAATTCCGTGTTTTCATCTCGGTTTCCTATACTTTCAGGTCAGTTACGAAACAAGGCAATGAAAACTAGACTGCCGTTCTACTTGCAATAGCTGTCCACTCCTAGTTTGGCTACATAATATATTTCCTTTATATTGGATTATGTACAATATCATTTTGACGTTGACCTTTTATCGATAGAAATTTTGCGATTTAGCTCACTGCTACACAGAGGTGATGCCCTTTTGCAAGATGACACTTTGGAGCGTTCTAACATGGACACCTACTTTCCTACTATATGTTGTTGTGTTATTAGTGTACAGGACGCTATTTCATAGCAATTATTCAATATACCTTCAACAGAATGGTTTATTTTTTAAACGAGGACACGTTTTTTCACGCTATCAAGAACCACAACTGTAAAAGCCTGATATGACTCAGTTTTTGCACCTCCTTTGTTTTGTCATTGTTCTTCTGACAATGTCTCCGACTTCCCGATCCGCACGTGATATACCAGTGAAGTCAAGCGAGATCAGTTCTGGTAGTATGGCAAGGACCGTGTGAAAATAGCGCTGTCGGTGAAAAATATACGGAATAATGATGGATGCACCACTTGAGGTTACAGGGAATGTTCAACTCATTTATGTATGCATATTACTGCTTCATGAAGTGTAATCGCCTACAAACTATCTTCAACGACGCAATCGTGAGCTCTTTTCACCTTATCTGCCGAGGGTGAACTTATGACTGTCAACTTTTGAACACTCCTTAGGCGCAGTTTTCGCTTACATTTTACACTTGCATCATATATATATATATATATATATATATATATATATATATATATATATATATATATATACAAAGGCATCGGAAGCACGCCGCTGCCTCCCATCAATGCTTCACTGTGACGCGACCGCCATTAGTCGTGCATAGACACGGTCAACCACACCTACACGGATTCGAACCGACGATCTATAGGCCATAAGGCTGACCACCTTATTCTCATGACCGAAGGAATACCTCTTACTTGATTGCTCATCGGATTGCCACCAGTTCCTGCAGAATTCCACCGGATGTAGCAAGTGCACCAATTTTCTCTCCAGTATCCCAGGTTAACGTGATTGGTTCCATTTTGATACACAAAAGCTCTCTTTGCTCTATTCACCATCACACTGTTTGCCGTCCGCTTATCCAGCTTCGGGAATCATACACACACACACACACACTATACACGTTAGCTAGAGGTGGGAAACACCTCAGCTACCGTGCCGCAGGAAACATCTCAGCTTCGGGAATAATGTATGATTAATCATTTTCTGCGCCATGGTATCTACCGGAATCAATCAAACCCGCACTGTGAGGTTAACTTATTGACGTGGAGTGCAAGCAACCATGTTATTTCTGCTCCTACGTGCATCACATTCGTCGATCACATCTGGGTTGATAGCGCTGGCTATTTTCTAAGGCACAATGCCCACCCATTGTTCATTTTGTTACTAACTTCTCCTCTTCCATGGTAAAAATTCTATGAGTAAGGTGCTATACGATGTATTTATTAGGTTGTCCCGAAATCAATTGACCTGTTTGGCACACCTTTACAATCATTATTTATTTTAAACAAGCGACCATATTTAATCAATGTAACATCCATTGTTATTGCCCATGAATTGCTAACGCTCAAGCAAGCTGTCGATGCGTCTCTCATAGAACAAGCTGGACTGGCTGTCAAAATATTGGGCTAGGTGCTTGTCAATATGGTTGCGGGCATCAAAACTATTGTTCTTGATGTGGTTTTATGGCTAGCGGAAAATGTGGTAATCAGTAGGAGCGAGGTCCGGGCTGTATGCTGGAGACATAAGAGTATCGATACAGAGATGCCGAACCT